GGGGCGTTTCGAGTAACCCGGCTTATTTAAAAAAAATGTTGTTGGACTATTTTGTTTTGAGTGTTGTGCTGAAAAAGCAGCCCGCGTGTTTTGCAGTTGTGAGAAAACTTAACTGATAAAGCTTAACTGATAAAACAGTTGGTATAAGTTGAATTGGTGAATGAATTAACAATAACGTATTCTGTATGGTTCACCAGAAAACAAGAGAGTGATTCTCTCGCTCTACATCAAGTTGTTAATGCGGTCGGCTGGTACCGACCTTGACATATTCAATCTATCATCATGCAACGTTCACTCACACTATCACTAACACTATGACCTTTAACATCATCTAGTAAAAACAATAACAATTTCAAAAGGGGCGGCCTTCCTGCCGTATCACAGCAGTTAAAGTTAAATTAAACCAGTTATCCTCTTGATTGAAGTGCCATAGTGCTTGTCTTTTAGACTCAATTTGAATATGAACGCCATATCACACGCTATGAAAGGAACGAAATTCTTCCTGACGACCCAAATGGATTTTAACTTAGCGTAAACAAAAATAGAAGCTGTCTCTGAACCTTCTTTTAGGTCGAAACCAAACAAAATTTCTTTCTGGATTATGTACTCGGTTTGAGGGCTACTCATTGCCGTTCAAGAATTTGGAACCATTCGTCCCAATTGCTGGTTTGCAGTTTATCCGCTGATTTGCTTTGTGATTTTGTATCATAGCAGTGGTGTCTGCCCTCAAAACAGAACTACTGATGGGCAGTTTGTGGTTTCAAGCACTTCTAAAAACGTGTTTCAAACGTAGATGAGCTACCCTCTCCGTTTAAAGTTTGATCTTTAAACGAAACATCAAATAAAAATTTTAATCGTTTAATTGTGTATAAGATCCACTGTTTGTCCTTCCCCCCGTTTACAACCACCCCGCCCCCGTTTATGCCCCCGCCCACGTTACACCCCCCCCCCCCCCCCCCCCCACGCTTGCTCCTCATGTACACACCCCGTTTGTATCCCCTCTCTAGCTTTCACCACATTTACCCCCGAGCTTACCACTCCTCGTTAACATCTACCCCCGCCCCGCAGGGTCGAATTTAGGGGGCGGGGGCAAACAGTCTCCCTTTGTACTATTTTGAGGTATCCATTTTTGGCTGATGGACCCTAACATTTTTTTTTCTAAAGACGCTTTCGGCGCCTATTTTTTTAAAATTTTTTTGAGAGGGAAGCGCGTGCCAAAAAAAACGCGATTTTTTGCTCAACATTTTCCAAAAAATTTCTAAGAATGCCTTTTTTGGCCTATTTTTCAAAAATTTTGCGCAGAAAGTTTGGCCAAAACAGGGTCTTTTTGTGCTTTAGGAGAGCTCTCGAAAAACAATTTGATCGGCCTAAAAATGTTTTTGAAAATCCGCACCTCATGAGAAAATCCTAGATCCGCCCCTGCTCCTATGTGTCAAGTGTCCTGCTTGAAGTGAGGATTGAAGGACTAAACGCCCTGTCTCATTGTCTTTTAATTGATTTGCAAAATTTTTATTTTTTTCTCAAAAAAAATTCGCAGCTTAAAAAATTGACCCTGAATATGGATAGATACAGGTAATAAACTATTGCTTTCAAAATCCACCGAAGAATCTTCAAAACTATAAAAATGAACTACGGAGAAGAAACACTGGCTGCCATCACACGCTGAAACTTTTGCTCAAACTCAAGTCAAACAGAAAAAATACTCAAGTCAAACCTGTACCAATGTATTGGAGGAGACGAGGCGCAACGAATTTTCAAAGCCAGGAAACTAGGAGTGGATATCAAAACGGTACGGTATCCTTGTGTGTTGGACTACATTGAACCCTTTTTTAAACGCAGACGGAATGTGACGCACGAAAGGGTTTGTTCTATGGACGCAAACAACGAGAACATGAAACATTCAAAAAGATCGATGCGGAGCTCAGCGCGTTGGTGGGACGGTGCGACTTCACAGATGCGGCGGAGAATGTGCGAGAAATATTCATAAAAAATTCGAAAGAGTCGGACTGCCAGTGGGGTTTATCGCGTTCAACAAAAGGCAAGAGGAAGTTTATTGGGTTGTTTCATCTTATGAACGGGGGGATAGAGCATACAAATCGTACACGGGAAAGCCAGCGGCATCAGCGCCATACAACAACATCAAACAGGAACCTGTGGGGAACATCTGACGGGGAACACGATGTTTCCGAAACCGAGGGCGCGGCGGACGCGGAAACGTACCAGGGGGGTCAAATCTTAGGAAGTGCTATAAGTGCGATGCTCCCAACTTTAACGTTGGAAAATATAAATGTTTGCCCAACAAAAATGCCAGCTATAATGCACGCCGGAAATTTGGACACTTCGAAAGGACATGCCGAGGGACACGTCGTGGAACTAACAATTGGAGAGGAGGAGGACGCGTGGGAATGGTGCAGGAAGAGCAGGAACACCACCGGAGCAAGCAGAGTATGGAGAGTAATAATAAGAAACAACCAGTGGGATGGGTGAATCAAGAGGCGGAAGGAGAATTTGAGTCATCCAATGGATCCATTGAAAATATGGTGATGGCGATAAAGCGTAAGCGTAGAGAAATCAAATACAAAATCCGAAATGCAAGAATTCTGGCCAATGTGTGTGGTAAAAGCATGTTGTTGTGGGTCGACAGTGGCTCCCCGATAACTATCTTTAGTTCGCAAGAAATGACACACGGGCCATGGGGAGAGCGAATTTTTATCTAATCCCATGAAGGGTCTAATTTTTGGATAACAACAACAAGCGCATACATATTCTTGGAAAGGCTGAAGTGATTATCGAACTCAACGGGTGGGTCACTCAGCGGAAGACTCGGTCATTGCAGGAAATCATCAATCAATCCTGGGGCAGGACTTGATTGGTTCACTGGGGCTGGAGTTGGTCCAGATGGACCACGTGATGTCAGTGATGGAGTACAACACAAATGCCGGATAAGAGCTTGAGTTGGATGAGTGGCAATCATTCTTCTTTAAGTTGTTTCCAAAAATAATTACAAGAATAGGGTACATACGCAATGCCAAGGTACGGGAAGATTTCTTTGACATACTAAAACCAGTACAACAAAAAATGCGGAGAGTGCCCATTTGTCTACAGGATAAAATGGATAAGGAAATAACACGTCTCATTCAGGAGGGACAAATAACGAACTCGAAGAGTGTTCGGACAAACATTTCGTGTCCCCAATTATAATCAAGAAGAAGACCAAAGTATAAAATTGGGGTTCAAATCAAGAGAATTCAACTAACAGATACGCAAAAACAAGTACCAAATGCCAAATATAGAAGAGTTAATGGATGGATTAAGTCAGATAGTTGCAAAAAAAACGGGGAAGTCTATTTTACAACTCTTGACTTAACGTACGCATACGGGCAAGTGGCTTTCGAAACAAAAAGAAGTAAACAAAGTAACTTCTCATTAGTGAGAGGAGAATCCACCAGTACCTATCACTTTTAAAATGGATTTTTTGCTTTAACAACGATGCCCGTTGACTTTCAAAGAGTCATGGATACTTTAACTAAGGATTTCCTTCAAGCACACATATTAATCGATGACAATTGAATAGTTTCAAAAGGAACCAAAATTGAGCACATTTCGTTAGTAGAAAAAACGCTCAAGAAAATCAACGTGGCAAACGCGTCATTGAAGCTCCGAAAGTTCCAACTCGCAAAATCAAGTTGTCAATGGCTAGGACACCATATAAGCAACAACGGAGTTACCCCATTGATCCGAAAAACGAAAGCGATAGACGAATGGAATGCGGCGCAAACTAGACGAGAGCTAAAATCGTTGCTGGATTCTCTGCACACTTTACAGGATTTCTTACCAAACCTTGCAGAACTGAGCACACCGTTAAGACCACTCCTAAACCAAAATAATGGACTTATCAATGCAAAACGGCGTTCTACTACCTAAAGCGGTTGATGGCAAGCATAACTGAACTTAAACAATTCGATATACACAGTGAAACACCTGTCGTGTGCGAGGCAACGTTAGAACAGCACAGCCAAGAGGGATGGCAACTCATATCATTTGCATCTAGATATCTCAATCCCGCAAAACGTAAATAGTCAACCAACAAGCTCGAACTATTAGCTGTTGTATGGGCCATCGAACCTTACAGAAATTACCTTTACGCATGCCTTTTCTACAGTTATTTCAGATCACAAAACATTGTCTTCGCCAAAAGGAAACAAAACATTTTTCAGTAGATTAACAAGATGGTACGACAGGCTACTACCTTATGATTTTAAGATAGAACACCGTCAAGAGTCAAAAATTGGGATTTTAGATTATCTATCAAGATACCCTTCGTCGGATGCGCCCCCTTGCAAGTCATTATGACTTAACATTCACAGTCGCAAAAAACAAAATAATAAATGAAGCACTAAATCCGCCAAAGGAAATCATAAAAGTACGAAAAACCAAAGGACAGAGAAATTCAAGAACAGTACGCGGCAGAACCGAACGATAGAGGGAGGAAACTCATGCAATTAATTTTCTGCCAATGGACTCACGATATCGAGTGATTATGCAAATACATCAAGCAATCAAAGCCAGACCGAGGTCGTTAAGTCATGCGAGCAAAATCCAGCCAATGATGGACTAGATATTTGCACATCGCCTAATACATGCACGAGCGGAAAACAGAAAAACAGACTTCGTTCTCAAGTGTTAAATTCAAGTTACTCAAATTCTCATCATTACAAATTTTTTTTCGATAATTCAAGTTCCAAGGATATGGCCAAAAATTTCTCAACTCTAGCACCATATTAGCCAGAAAACAGCATGGCGATTGTAAATTCTCCGACCCAGTCAGGCAACGTAATCTCAATCTAGTTCTCAATAATCTAACTAATCGAACCACAACCCTGGGCTCGATTAGCTCTGACTCAGTTATTTAAATAATACCCCAGGACAAACTACCCCAACACGATACGGCATCAAAAAAACTCAACACGATCATTTCATCTCCATCTAAATTTCACGGCCTCTGGTAACCCCTCATAAACACAGACAGTGGATATATTCTTAGATACCGACGGTACGCAAAGTGTTGAGGAGAATGGATCATCCAGATGTAATTTCTCTCAAAACAGTGGAGGTTCACATCGAGAAAAACCCAATCCTGAAGATCATCAGGGATGCAATCCGAGACAAAAAACCAACAGCGAAGGAAATCATCACAAATCTACAAATCTAAGACAGTGTTTTGGACAATATTTTGCTATATAACCAAGGAAACCAGATATAGCCAAGGGTAATCTAGAAGAAACATTTAAACCGAATGTACCTAACGAGGTAGTCCAATTGGATTTTTGGGGGCCAGTTTAAGTCGTACTAGGAAGAAAAAATACGCAATTATAGCCGTCGATGTATTTTCTCCTTGGCCCTCGGCCTCTGTTTGTGGTAGCAATTACTCAAGGATTGTTTTGCAATTTCTGAAAAAGTGCATGGTCGCACACGGGCGTCCTTGAAAAATGCATATGGACGAAGCCTCCGGTTCTTCTATAAAAAGATACAACTTTTCTGTGAAAAGGGTCGGAACAAAAATAAAGTTTAGTTAAGTGTACGCAAACATAAACATTCAAAAGTATGTGTTTTTGAAATTCGATCCTAAAGACTGGATGGCACTCGCAATTTCTGATATTGACTGACAAAAGATGGATTTTAGCTATTAAGAAAATTCAATTTACAGCGATTTTTAGTGCAAGTCGCTTCTATTGAAAACAAAAATTGTTCGTAGTATAATTGTCTCTGAATTCCGCTTTTTCCTAAAATTCAGTTCTCTTTTCTCGGTAGCTAAACACCACCAACCGTTTAAGCACTTGACTTCGGACAAGTGCGTGGAATCCAAGACATCTACAAAAATCAAACTCATTAAACGGAGTGTAGGATCATAATGAAAATATTTGATGAGATGCAACTATTTTCAATCCTTGTTTTTAAGCAGGAAATGAGTTAACGAAGGGTGGGAACTTTTTAAAAACATCAATTATTAAAAAATATCATTGGTGGATCTGACTTTTAGCAAGGAGCTGGGGTTTTTGTTCCTCAGTTTGGCGAAATATAATTCATTTTTCGTCTACAGAAGTTTAAGTTTTTCACAAGTACTAAAACAAATTCTTTTTTATCTTATTTTCCAGCTTTTATTGATATAATATATTGGCATCCAAATTTTAGACACAGTCAGTCCAAACTGCGTGTCATAAAATAGTGACGAAAAGAAATTCTTGCTGGTGAAAATACTGAACTCCCGAGATAAGGTGGTATCGGCCCAATCGCTTTCTAATTCAGTGACCGTGTCAGTTGACACAAAAAAGCAGCAAAGTTGTGTTTCTCAGAGCGGGTATTTCAATAAAGCCAAAAGCATCTCCCCTCAAGCCGTCCCGGCAACTTACTTGGAATTGGAATTGTCCTCTCCCCGGACATCTCAGAATCAAAAACTGCCACAATTTATCAATAAACACCTTAACTACGAATCAATTTAACTTTTTCTAAACTTCATGGTAGAAAACAAAATGAAAACCTGATTTGAACAGCTGAGATTATCCCGATTCTGAGAGAAATTTGAAAATTTAAATTGCTTATTGAGCTTCTCATCAGTGTCAATTCTATGTACTCCGATAAAACCAATCTAATTACTCTTTCTATTTTCGTGTGGGTTTCAGGGTGCATATACAAAACAGTTCCATGCAAAACAGTGCCATATAAAAGAGTCCAAAACATCAAAAAAAATTCTTAAAAAAATCCCACAGAAAACAGTCCAAAACCAATTGAATTTTCTGACCTTGATCTTTTGGCGCCGACAGAATTGACTTACACTTTGGAAAGTTAAATCAGATCAAAAGCAGAGACTTAATGGTATAGTGGTTAGAGCATTAGACTCAAGTTCTTAAGATCAAACAATGGAATCCCCGTCGGCAATTATTTTCTTTCCAATTTTCCGGAAAAAGTTTGGGTAAATTTAAAAACGGGAAAATCTAGGGTACAACAAATATAGACGGATGGGTGGGGGGGGGGGTGAAATCAACACTTTGTATGTATCCAATAACTTTCCGGTTTCAGGTCGACTCTAGCTCAATTTTGAAAAATCAAGGAAAACAGTTGATTTTCGAAAGTTTTTTTGTTTGGCAATGAGGAATGAATGTTAAAATTGAAAACAAAACAATTCTGATTGGGAACAAATTAAATGTCATTCGGAGCAGACAAAAACGTTCCATCACAGAACCATTTATCTGATAACAATAGACAGTTTAACCCAGGTAACGTGGCGAACACAATAACCCGATTCTCATCTTGGGGACCAGAAGCGTGCAGAAAGAACTGCTCTCCATCGTGAGTTTTCTGTAGAGCCAGAGGTAATTCGAAGCCAGTCAGCGAAGTTAGCTCTGCCATCTTTGGTCTTTTTTCGCGTAGAGCTCTATTTACAGCTTGCTGATTAGCAGTATAACTAGGTAAATTGCAGCTGTTTGTGGGTTCACATCATATTGGGCTGAGAAAATTGTCTGCCGTGGTGTTACATCGGATACTGCTGCTCGATCCTTAAATGTTTTCTGAACGTAGGTTCTGAACTTACGTTTTTTGAGGTCAGTTGGATCGGGGAAGTAGCAGTGTTTTTCAGCGATCTCAACGGAGCGTTCACGTATCCATTGTAACTACTTTGTGTGCAGCGCGAGGAAAGAGAGTTGTCTGACAGTTTTCGGTGTTTAATATAAGCAGACCTTTCAAATTTCAGTAACTCCGAATTTTTGATAGTAAATTTGATTTCCGTCGATAGTTAGTGAATTTCGTTCTTTTGAGTTTTGCCAAGTGTTCGCAAGTGAAGCAACTTGAACAACCTGTCTCTTTTTGCATGGAATAAATAAAGGGTCCACTCTTTTGATTGCGTTAAATTTTATGTTTTGCATAATTTTGCTTTTTATGAGTGGCTGCTGCTGTTATCTAGGTTTTTCTAATTTCTCTGCGATACTACTTATGTTAGCCCGATTAGTTGTCATGAAAATGTGTTGAATCCGAGAGAATTTTTTAAATTAGTTTCTGGAACAATTATCAATTCGATCAGTAGAACTGTTTTTTGGACTATTGTGTATATGACTGTTTTGTACAGGCGCGGGGTTTCAGACACATTGACGGATCTGAATAGGCTGAAGCTTAGTCGGGTAAAATAATGTCAGAGAAAAGTACCAAAAGTGAAATCATATGGGCTTAGAGCGTATTTTATTACTGAAGGATGGGGTTTTCACATTTCCATCCCTTTCCAAAAAATGCTTTGGCTACATTCACATTGATCTAACTCTGAATTTCGTGTGTTCTTCAGACAGTTGTCATGGTACATACAGCTTTTTTCTGTATATTTATGGGTGCAAAGTCAGTATGAGAATTTGAAAATAAAACTCGACACGGTGTCACTTGCTCTAAACAGAGGCCAGAATACAAGATTGGGTCAAAACAAACATGTTCTACTAATTTGCATCAGTTAACCGATCGTCAAACTAAATTTTAAGTCAATCAAACTGCAAGTTTGTCATGAACAGTTAAAATGTAAATTTCATACACTTTTAATGACAGCAAATTTGTTGTTTTAATGCCGAACTATGAGTAACTTAATGAAACTATAAAACAACCCCTCTCTCTGAGATGGTTTTTGATTTTAATTCGCAGTAGAGTTATTTATTTCGCCAGATGAAAGTCTTGTGGTAAGAATTGCTGTTATGGAAATTGACTGTGACTCGCCGAATATTTCCTGCCACGAGTTAAACAACGGTTAGCAACAAACAAATAAGCCGATCGGCGGGCAATTAAATTAGAATATCAGGCTCCGAACAGTTACATTTTTAAACGAATTTCTTAAATTTTTTTTAAATTTCAAAACTTCCAATTTGATGTTTTGAAGGAGAATACGGTTTTCGAACAGATTTTTGTAAAATTTTTGATTAAACCTTGGTAATTTTATTTTTTTTTGAAATATTTCAGAGGCGTCTAAATGTATCCGAGATGGTACATACGGTCTTATTGGTGAGTCACCTACATTATTTCAATTTTTATTTTCATTAACATTTTTAAGCATCCCTGTCCCCCATTAAAATGAACTCTCTGCTAGTAATGCGCATTGTGGTGTTCAGGTGCGATGTGGTTGATGGGAGTGATTGGGATCATAGCTAATTCAGTCACTATTGTAGTGCTCAAACGACTCATCTCAGTCGACATAGAGGCAAGTGCATCTCAAATAATAGAATCAAGTCGAAGAAGGTTGGATTTTGAAAGTGATGACATGGAAAATTTTTTAGCTTGACCAAAAGGACTCACTTTTACTGCAAAGACTCTCTTCTTTTCCGAAAATTATTTTTATAATGCCGGCTCCGAAAATTGAAAAATAGAGCAGAATAAAGCGCCCCTCCCATCCTCAGTCGATCATAACACTACACCCACCTGGTTAAAACAAAATATTTTTTAAAAAAATGACCACGAAATTCGTTACTATTCTTGAGAATAAAAAAAAAAACATAAAATCCCAAATGACGAATCTATAATAAATCAACTTTTCCAATAAAAGTTTATATTAGCAATAATTTGGCAACAGTTAGCAGCAGTTTTTTTCAAACTTGAGGCATTTGAGTTTGTTTTTTGTAACTTTTGCTATTTTCGATGAACCACAATTGACGTGGGAAGGAAATGTAGCGTAGGTTTTGCTTTTTCAACGCGTTTTGTTTCTTCAAATAAAGCTCTCAGGGAATCAAATGGAATGTCACACTAAGGCTCTAACAGTCATGATTCGAGCTCTAAAATAAGTTCAAAATTTAATGGCGTCGAGAAAAATTGACCAGCATTTTTTTGGTTTGTGACATTCACCTCAATAATGATGAAACCCAATTTAATTAAACTGCAGTTTATATGCTCTTTTTACAATAATTAGTTCTCATTCTTGCAGTTTTATTACGCAATTCAATACCCTTTATTAAACATATTAACCGGGAAATTACTGGAAAAAAAATGAAAAAATGTTTCCGGAAACTTGTTCTGATTTTTTTTCGATTTTAAATATATATAATTTTTTTCAAATACATGAATTATTGAGGTTATCGGAGTATTCCTTGCTACATTCCTAGCTATATTTGTTTCCGTTCTAGCGCCAGATCATGAACTTTATCCTGATCACAATTGCACTGAATGACATCGCGTTCCAGACGCTGTTTCCCACTCTAGTGCTCTGGTTCCAGGCATACCCGGAGTACATAGAACAGTACGACTGGTACCGAAACTTCACACAACCACACAGCCCCACATTCAGGTAGATTTTTTCAAAGAATAATTCAACAGCGACTAAAAAAATTCTCACAAGGAAACAAAGCGAGTGAAAAACCACAGAAGTATAGCAAAATTTGACCTTGTAATTTTTTTTGGTCTATTAACCGGCCAAAAATACTAAAAAAGTATATAGAATACTTATGTAGCAACCGTGGGTTGATAAATTTACGCTCTTTTCTTCAAAATTTTGGGCTCATTTGTTTGGCTGCTCAATTCTGGCTGGTTTACACAGCTCTGTTACACACCCCTCTCATAAAAGTATAACAAAAAGCCCATCATCATCATCATCATCATCATCATCATCATCATCACAGAGTTGTTTTGTGCACTTTTTTGTGAATTCAGAAGTGCTAGATCCTCTTTTTAGTCTTCGAATATCATATCAAAAAAACTCCTTAAAATTCGCCAGCTCTCGCGGACGCTTTTTCTTAGGGATTCGACCCCCTGTCGACCCAAAGGGTCCCTCCTTCCTTTGTACTATTTTAATATATCCATTTTTGGCTGACTGACCTTAAAATTTTTCTAAACGGAGCTACTAAAAACAGTACAGTTTCAGTACTGCGCCAGTATCAGTTTATCTCTGATCGAAGATAAATCAGCGCAAAAATTCAGCAATGAAACAAAACTGTACAGCAACATCACTGAAATTTCGCAAAAACAGCATTAAAAAGACTTTATGGCGGTTAAAAATTTTACTTACTAAGTTGAAAATGTTTTTTTAAGTCTCTCCAAGCCCGGGTTGACCAAAAATGCTTATCATCAATTCTCATAAATGGGAAATTTCTTGTCATACAATTCCATACAATTCCATACGCACAGAAAATTGTATGAAATCTCTATAATAAACATTTTCCCATAAATGTAAATTGTATGACAAACATTTTTGCCATACATGGAAGTTGTATGACAAACATTTTTCGGAAATTTTTTTTCAAATGCGGCACAAATTACCTTAACACCCATCTAATAAGCCGTGCAATCTGTGAACAGAGAAGAAAACCTGAGAAAAAAGTTTTTTTTAGAAGTTGCAACCTCAGTTTCTTAATTTTCTGCAGGAAATCTTCTCAACTCTTTAGTTAGCAGCAAGTTAGCTTAATTGATGGGTTCTTTCTTCAGATAAAGAAACTCAATCAACCAGAACTCTGGTCCCAAAGTTTTTGTGGATCAAATTCAATCCTTTATTGAGGTTACCCTCTTTTTTTTGCATTTGAGTTTGGAAATCACTTGAAAGTTATTTGATTCGACACAAAAGTAGTTTTCGGAGCTCCATTATCTGGTTTGGTTGCTTTTCTTTGCAGATTTCACAAATCAAATCTCAGGAAAAATCAACGTGGAGCCAGAAAAGAGCCGTTTATACATCGTTTGATTAACTCACACTTAACTGTTGTTTGCAGTCTAAATGAATACTGGTTCTTCCTAAAAAGAGCACTGGATTAATCCCTATGTTTTTCAGCATCATCTTCTGAACTTGTTTTATTTATTTCCTAGCTTTGAAATTTATATTTAAGAAGCGTAGGATGTATCCATCAATTTTGACAACCATCCACTTTTGAAAAACTATCAATTTTTTAAAAATGATTAGTACACGATGTGGAGTCCTGTTTTAGACGCAAAAGCGCCTTGTTGAGGAACTTTACAGTGAAGGGGAGAAATGTACTTAAGTTCTCCCTACAACCAGGCTTGATGCTGGACAGTCTGTTGCTTTATCTTCTGCTGGCTTACTTCCTCTGGTACTGCGCCAAGATGAAAAGTGAGTGTAAAAAATGATGAAAATCCCAAAAATACCATTGTATTTTCTAATGATGGAACCAACCACGGCTCGTCAAGCTGAACATTGAAAAACTCTTTTTGTATCAAGTTACCCCCCCCCCCCCCCCCTCCCAAATAGACCAAGTTAAGATCCTCCACAGCGTTCAATATAAATTAAACTTGCTAAGCGCGAAAAGCTCAATTCTGATGGGCTGAAAATTCCCACTTAGAACCAAGTTAACATCCCCCCCTCTAAACGTGTTTGGGGGGGGGGGGGGGATGTTAACTTGGTCCCTCTTTTTAATTGATAGTCTATATGTTCCATTACAACGTTTTTGTGGTGAGAGAATTTCGTTTTTCTAGATGAAATGTTTTCTTTTAATTCAGTTAACAACCAATTAGAAATGAAAATAGGATACATTGGAATGCATATGAGTTCCGCGCAAACTCTTTTTTTTCCACAAATAGGCGGGATCTATCTAAAAATCTCCCGCTCATGTGGTATCTACTAGCAAACTTCACACCTCTAAATAAAAACTGTGATTTAGCTCTAGATTTTTTTGTGAAGTCTAATTTTGTTGCATTCTGATTGCTCGAAAGTTCGCTGATTTAATATAGCTAACCATCCCCAGTTTTTTGAAACGGGGATAGGTAGGGAGATCCTTTTGACGATAGATTTGAATGTCATACGGTATCAAAAACGTTTGGGAGATTAAAAAAGTCCAATACTCAAATTTTGTTCTCACAGGTGATAGGACGTATAATTTGGTGTGCGTGCATTTAATTGATGTATCAGTAAGTTACCGTATCAGTAAATCGATTTATGAGACAATTACATAACCAGTTGCGTCATAATAACTACTAACTGCGCTTTAAATAAACTCATCGAAAAAAATTGAAAACATTGTATGCGGATTCCAAAACAAGCCAAAATCAGATTTGTCGCGGAATCCACACCATTGCTACTTTTCTTGGATCTTTTTGCTGTTATGGATTCCACTAGCAAAGTTTTAAAACACTGCTCCGCTCAAAATCGCTCCAAAACTAGACGAAATTGCAGTATCCGCAACCGTATTTGCGGAATCCAGAGCAGTTTGTGGAGTCCACAAACAAACAATAAGTCATGTGTATAGTTAAATTGAGCTGTTGCGGAATCCGCAACTGTACATGGAATCCGCAAGGTGCAAGTGGAACCCGCAAATTGTAAGTGGAATCCGCATTTTGTTTGCGGATTCCGTTTGCATATATGTATATATGTAGTGGCGCTTAAAATTATATCTTTTAATTACTTGATTTGATTTTACCAGAATAGAAATTTACTAGATCAGTTGTTGGGATAATGGAATCTCAATTACTCACCAGTATTTGGGATCGATGAAATCCCAAATACTGAACTAAATCGACAATTTGCTATGCGTTGGGTTTCTAATCACTCTCAACCTAATGACTTCAAATAATGAATTTGTTCCATTTTTATTTCATATTATTCCAGTTTTTGGGATTCCATCAGTACAAACACTGGCCAGTATTTGGGATTGATGGAATCCCAAACACTGACCTAATTTGGTGATATGCTGTGTGTTGTGTTTTCATACACTTAATTCAATGACTCGAAATTTTGAAACTATTTGGTGTTGTGTCTCCAAAAAACTAAAAGATGACATCCACCGATTTAGGTAACCAATGTTATAGGACTTGTTCATGGATTCCGCTGACAATAGTTGAGTCCTTACTTTTAAATTCCGCATTGCTAAAGATAAGAATTCCAGCTCTAGCTTTTAATTGTTCATATGCAAATTCAGCGTTGAACAAATTCGCAATCCACTTACAGTTTGCGGAACCCGATTAAATTTGCGGATTCCGCTTTTATTTTGCAGAGTCCACTTACAGTTGCGGAACCCAAAACAAATAGCTATATTCGCTTGTAGCGGAATCCGCGACACAACAAATGTGCCGACAAATTTTACCTTACACTCATATGTACGCGGAATCCACGGAAGTTTTGTAAGTGGAGTCCACGTACATTTTGGAACATGTTTAAGATTAGTTTCTGGAATCCAGGAACATACAGACACAAAATTGTGCGCCTATCCAGTGCACAATTTGGCCTCGTAATGAAAAAGTTTCGATTCTTTGGCTCTAAAACTTAATTTATAACATTGCTGCGCATAATTCCAAACAAATTTTGAGGTCAAATAATTTTAAAAATGTTCCTTTAGAAATGTTGCTTTGAAAAAAATATTTTCGGTTTACTGATCACGTAATTTCTTTTTCGGCTTACGGATCTGGTCTGCCCGTTTTCGGGTTGCTGTCACATCAGTTTACTGACCTACCACCGATAATTTTTATTCCTACTTTCGAAAAAAAGACAGAATATTTGTGCTCGGGTTTTGCTTTTTCTCCAAATATTTTTCGACATTTCGACATTTTTGGCAAAATTTGTTAAGCCATCTGGAAAATTTTGAATTCGAAAACTTAAAGTTAAACAAATAATAATTTAAAACTGTTTTATCTAAGAACATGGTATGGGGAAACTAACACGGGCTTCGTCTAACGCGCGAAACTTCGTCCTGATACGAGCTTTGTCCTGATACGAGCAGTCTTGTTCGAAGAAAAGATACGGCTTTCCGAGAAAAATACGAGAAAAAAATAATATTTAGGCTCAGGGTTTGTTTTTGCCTGGCATAATTTTGTCATACTTGTCCTGACGTTTTGATTTATGCTTTTATACCACCTGTGATTTTTTTCTGTCAATAGGTTTTTGATATTTTTTGTCTTCAACTTTTTTTTAGCATGTGGAGGAATGTTATTACAAAAAACCCTAAAAATTCCAGTCGTTGTCAATTTTTATATTTTTGACTGGATTTGTTATTGTTTAGAGCTTAACGGGCAGCCGGAACAATTATGACGTCGCCCTTTTACGAGAAATCTTGTTTAGTTTTATCAGTTTTTTCCTCAAGCGCCTAAAAAATTGATTGGCTGTTTGCCACCCTTTTCTTTTTCAATTTTTCAATAACTCTCGCTAAAAAAATGATCGACACTCTTTATAAAAGAAAAAATGATATTTGTTTTAGGTCAGTTTGGAGCTAGAAGATCAGTTGGGATTATCGAAGAGAAACAGAAAAAATTCAAAACTCTCTGCTGCAGGTAAAAAAGCGCAAAACTTATTTTTTGCGCTTTAAAACAGTACTAGTTGATTAATTGTACTAACAATTAATGTATATTTTTCTCAAACCAAAAAAAATGTAGAAAATTAAAAAATTTATATCTATCAAAAAATTCCAAAAGATACCTAATACCAACTCGCTCAGCAGCAGGCTACTGATCTTGTACGAGTGTTTAATGTAGCATTCCACCACTGGTCACAGCCTATTCGATTGGCGTGTTCGTGCTGGGAGACATCTTCATGTTGGAGAAGCCCTCTTTGTTCATATCTGTGGCTCTTCTGGTGGGAGTGTGTGTGCCAGTGTTTGTACTCAACTTCTCCCGCCTGCGCAGTATGAAGAGACTGATGAAGGAGTTGGAGGAGTTGGCGGGAAACATAGAGGAGGACTCGGAGGATGAAAATGATGAGACATCGGTTTACGGCGACAGTTAGTGTGTAATTACAGCAAAGATATACGAATTTTTTCCAAATAGGTCCAAATCAGGGGCGGATCTAGAATTTTCTCGAGGGGGGGGGGGGGCGGATTTCAAACAATTTTCGAAAATTTTGTCGACCTTTGTTTTTTTAGGACGACCAAAATGATTTTTCGAGCTCTCCCAAAGCACTGTTTTATCTTCTGTCCCTATTTTGGCCAAATTTTCTGCGCCGCAGGCGAATCTTTGAAAAAGCAGGCCAAACAGCGTTTTTAGCACATTTTGGAAAAATTTTGCCAAAAAATTGCCAGAAAATTTTTAGGGTCCGTCGCCAAAAATTGATATCTCAAAATAGTACAAAGTCGGGACCCTTTGGGTCGGCAGGGGGTCGAATCCCTGAGGAGAGGAGCGTCTGACCCCCCCCCCCCCCCCCCCCCCCCCTCCCCCTCCTAAATCCGCCCCTGGTCCAAATAAAGATCTTATATACACCTATTATTATTCTATTAGTCTTACTTTTTATTTCTTGTTAGCTTGAGTCGTATTCGAATTTTTGTGGCTATACGACTATCGCTCTATTCTCTTCAGCTGAAGTTAAGAAATCACATCTGAGTTAACCAACCTCAAAATCCAGTGGATGATCAAGGATTTTCTTGAAAGTAGCGAGTTTAAAAAAAACATCAAAGACTTTTTTAGGCCCTGCAAATTAATTTTCCGAGCTCTCCCAAATCACTATGAAGACCCTATTTTGACCAAAACTTTTGCGCCGCTGGAAATTTTTGATTCCTGATTTAAAAAAATAGGTTAGTAAAAAAAAACATTTTTGGCCATTTTTCGGAAATTTATTGTCGAAAAAGATGTTTTTTTTTCTAGTCGCGCACTTCCTACCTCAAAATTAGTATTTATTGGCGCCCAAGGCGCCTTAAGAAAAAATTTAGGGTCAGTCAGCCAAAATTGACGTGTTAAGAAGAACCTACAAGGGTACGCAATATGACCGACATAGATTCATTCCCATCAGCGCCGTCGTCTTCGATTTGATTTTAATTCAGGTATTCAAGACGAGAAGCCGGACGAACGGCCAGAAATTCTCCCCGCGGAACCCACAGGCCGTCGTCCAACGAGCGAACACGTCCGAACATCCTACGACAGCGATCCGAGCTCACAAAACGAAGCCTCCACATCAGCCGTTGTTCTAGCACCTCAACGTCGAGATAGCCGAAACCCAAATAACCGACTGAGCATTGGTCGAATGCAGAAAAAGTTGGACAGGATGTTTAAAAAACAGAGTCTAAAAGCGACAAATAAAAGTTTGACAAAATCTAAAAGCCAGGAGGAGCTAGAGAGCCGACACAATAATTGGAGAAGAACCGCCCTAATTTCTTCACTCTGCAGTGTTGTTTGTGTTTTGCCTTCTTTTGTTTACTTTGTAGTGAAGTCAACTTCGTTTTTCAAACGAGAATATTACGATCACGAGTGGGTCTCAGTTTGTTTCGGATACGTGAGTTTCTCTTCTTTTACATGATACTAGCTCCGATTAATTTCTTCATAAACCCATTCGTGTATTACTTCACTAACCGTGAGTTTAGAAAGAAGTTTAGGTCGACTTTTAAATGTTTGTTCATCCGAAGATACAGACGAGGGTCGGGTTTCACGACTGCTGACCATTCGATCGCTTCGTCAGCTATGGAGTTACCCGATATTCATCGCCAGTCGATTCGGAGCACACCGAGTTTCAATCGGAACCGAGCGACTGTTTCCGAACTGTAAACCCGATAGGCCATTTAGAACTTTTTAGTCATCATTTCTTATACGCTTAAAACTTATTTAAATGGACTTATTTATTTTTTGAAACCTGTCGGAGATTCGCCCCAGATAACTTAATAATCAATGTCATATTGTTGTAATTTTAGGTTTTCCAAAAAATATTCATTCTAGGAACTCATCCCTTCCGTGACATAAGAGTTTCAAACTTGGATAGTATTAAAGGACAACCATTTTGGCCGAACGATCATACGCACGCTGTTTACTAAAAAAAACTTCGGGCGCCAACAATTTCCAATTTCAAACGACGAGCTTAAAAATCGAATTTTGAATCTTCTCGAATTTTTGACTCCGGCACAAAACTATTTTGACGAAAAAGGATTTTCTTGGTGATTCAAAGAAACTCTCAAAACCAGTTTTACCTACCAATTGATTTAAGCAATATATCAATGTTGTTGAAAACAAGAGAGAAAATATATCTGAGAAAATCATTGATCAAGTCTACCTTCGAGGTTTTTTAGCGAATTGCCGAAAAATTAGTTATCGTGTTACAGACAAAATTTTACACCAAATAACACGATTGCTTTAATAACAAGACTGCTTCAAGCCGTGAGTTCTTCGACTGCCCTTGAATGTCTAGGAAATAATTTTTAATTCAAGAAATTGATAAACTTTTCAAGGATAAAATGTTATCATTTTTTAAAAATCGGAATCTCACACGTAATAGCTTGCCTCAATTTATATTGGAAAAATTCCGTTTTGGTTTAATTGCCGCTTACGCGTTAATAAAACGAAATATAATGAAAGTCAGCTGTCCCAATTTGACAAACTTCCAAACCCCAAAACGTTAGGAAAAATGATCGCAAAAACTTTTTCAGGACATTTCAAGTGGTGTAAATATTTCTTCAAAACCACCTTGTTGAAAACTCGAAAAAATTTTCTGAAGAATTGCTCACCCCAGGACAAATGGCCCTATGTGGAAATAAGTCTGTGGAGACTAGTACCATCTTACACAGTCGAAATTTACCTGATGTAAAAAAACACAAAAACCGTGCACAAATATTCTGTGGATTTCTTTTTATACCAAGTGTTGTTTATTCTAACTAACGCTTATGAAAAAGTTTTCCATGTGATATAGATTTTGAAAACATACAAAAAATACAAATTTTGATTACAGAGATAGCAAATTTAGCAAATACACTCAGGATTTAAATCTAATTCCTTTTTAAGAGGTTAATACTTATCAACACCATAATATGGGCTGAAAATAAACAATTCATTGCAATCAATCAATACTAAAATTTAATTCCTCATGGCTAAACAAACCGTTTTTTGGATCCACAAATTCTGTTCCAGACCATTCAGCATTTCCTGGGCTAAGTTTTCGCGGTATATATGAAAAGCACTGTTTACCAGCTGATCAGTGTCCGTTTCTATGGCAACTTCTCGATTGCTCATGGGCTTCGAAATTAGCGCGTATGGCCTCATTATGGAATATTCGATATCCGGACATGATTGGATGAGAAAGTTTTCCATTTTTTCCATATCTTTCAGATGAGTCACCGCAACTGTTCTGACTACTTTGCGGAACACCCTTGAGGGATTTTTGAACATTTCTTGTGGTTTTTTCAAATCAATATCCGGAACATTCTGTTGGTCGGAACGGATCATCGCAGCCGAGATGCAAATCAATCTTTGTACGTTGCTTTCGCGCATTGCCGAAACAACTGATATTAAACTGTCGGTATAGAAAGTGCTCTCGTCTTTCCACGGAAGAACGAACTTGCTGCCGAGGCACGACACGACAGCGTCGACACCTACGAAGTGTTTCGCGAGGTTGCTCGGCTCGAAGATGTTGGCTTCGACAACCGAGAGTAGTTCGCCGTTCGGCTCCAGCCCGAGACCGTTCATCTTGTTCGTGTCTCTTACAATGGCCACAATTTGGTGGCTGTTTTTCAAGGCTAGACTGCAGAATGCGTGGCCTGTTTGGCCAGTTGCTCCTAACACGGCTACTCGCATGGTGGCAGCTGAAAAAACACAGATATTTAAAGCTTAGCAACTAGTGAAAAAAAAACTGGAAAAAAGTGTGGAAAATTTTCCTTGCAACTCAGATGCCTTTTTTACGATACCTTTCACCACACACATACGAAGTTTTTTCATGATATGTGATTTTGCATTGAAAAAAACACAAGCACTCAAATACAAAGTTTCTCCCCACCTCAGGAGATAGAAACGATACGTCCAGCCTTGGAATTTTTTTTTCAATAATCAATTAAATTAGATTTTATTACCAGTCTTTATGAATTTTAAAATAATACATAATACGATTACTAATTTTTTAATTCAATACGATCCATGTTTTATCAATCATAATAGATTGTTTAAACTCTTTTGTAAGTGTTTTTGTTCTAACAAAAATAAATTTTGCAAACAATTTGCAACGTGAAAAGTCGCATTAAACAAAATCAATTCATAAAAAAAATTGTTGATCAAATAGTCACAGTAATTTAATATGTATAAATCATAAATGATTTGAATAACTTGGAAGCTGCAAAAAATATTTAATATTTCAAAATGAAGCTCTCCATAGAAAGTTGAAATCATTGAAGCGCAATTTTGCGGTACAAGAAGAATAAGACGACCGAGAAAGTTGGGATGCTTATGCTGAGTCATATTCAATATTAAGTACGACAATTTTTTGAGCTGAAAAAAAACTTTCGAATAAAATAAGCAAATATGAAATGAGAATGACCCATTGCGTGTCCGCAATTTAAGGCGACAGCTGTTTAAGTGAAAAAAAAATTGGCTGGGGCATTAATAAACATTTTAATTCTGTAATTGGCTTCAATTAACTCTAACTTTAACTCATTAATTAATTCTGCAAATCTGTAATTGGCTTCAAAAACATCAAGTTTTAAGTGGAATAGTCTCATGATGGAGAGTCCAAATGATGGAAAACATTTAACCAATCACAATTTTTACTTTTACACGAAGCCGAAGTTATTATAAATAGAAAAAGAATTATAGCAGCACAGCAAACCCCCATAACTTAACGAGAAATAATCACAGATGAAATATTTTTTTTAGATTTAAGCTCAGGACAACAATAAATTTGAATGATGTAAAAAACTCTGTCAAAATGGCTAGTTAAAAAGTCGAAATTTGGCTGAGGAAAAAAGCCACCCCGAGCACAAATATCCCGTTACATTCGTTACGAAAGTCGGAACAATAAAAAAAAATTGTTATTTTTTTAATGGGCTTTAGTTATTTTTCAATACCCGACTTCGATTTTGCTATATTTGAAAACTCATTTATCTGCTTATTTTTAAACGTTCAATATTGAAATTAATGGCCTGGATTTGTTCGCTTTATTTGTGGTTTTTTGAGGTCACTTTTTATAGTTTATGGAGCTAAAACGCATGTTTAGATAAAGTTTAAAAACAAAGTACTAAATCTAGGTTACTGAAGTCTTGTATTTACGCGCAAGTTTTTTTAACTGAGTGCATCGAATCAAAATCATGTGAATTTGAACAGATAGTACAGCAAAATGGATTTTTATTATCGAAAAGACCATACAAATCTTTTTTTTTTTCATAACAATGATCACAAATAGGAGAAATACTGACGCCTAAATCTCTGGACTTCTGAAATACTTAGCACGTGATAGCAAGCTGTATTAGTGTTTCAATTAAGCCTGCTTCTTTTTCTAAAAAGTATTTGGAAAACTGTATGTAACGTTTTGATTTTCTCAGAAATGTAATAATTGGCCTTAAAGTCTTTTGTCTTAATTACCGAATATTGTATACTGTATCAAGTGTTCTTTTATCAGAACTAGGACAAACTTAAACTGGTAGTGCTTTTTCGAAAATGTCTCAAAATTTTCCAATTTTGACGAGCTCAATGTGTAAAAAGCCAAAAACCAGCATCATCAAAACAACCTTTCATACTGTGATAATTCTGCTTTTCAGAATACTTCCATTATCAAAAAAACCTTCTAGGAAAAGCTTAGAATGTTTTCCGAGTCGGATTAAAAATCCGCGTATCCGATAATAGCAAGAAATAAATCCGGGTTAATTATCCCCAAATTGGAAACTTTCAAAGACCGCTAATTTTGCCGAAAAAAAAACATTAATAAACTTATTAATTTCGCGCAAGCATCAATAGTTTTCAAATGATATAATTTTCTGTCTCAAGTAAAAATTGAATCAATGACTAAAAGCAAAATTTGATAGTTCTCTAGTTTTTCCGTCAGTTCTAAGAAAAGGACGATACAATTTTAAGAAAAACTGGAACTTTTTTGCTTTCTCTTTACTCCCTGGTGATAAACGAGCGTAAATTTTAATTGAATTGAAGCATGTAAGATCAATTGAAATTTTTTTTTATTTTTTGCCAGAAGTTTCAAGCGCTTTCAGTCCAAGCGCTTTCTTTTTTCCCAGAAGTTTTAAGCGCTTTTCAGAAGTTTTAAGCGCTTTCAGTCTATTATGTTTCATCATTACGTCGAAATCAAAACGCGGGAAATTAAACCGTCTTATGGATTTGTTCTTTACAAAAATTAAATGGATTATTTTTGATTAGTTGCACCATAAAAACAGCCCGATAGTGGAGCTTATACGCAACAACTTAGAAAGTGGCGACAATTCAATCAAGGTATTGGCTAATGTTTTGGCTTGCTCAGAGTTTTTTCCTATTACGACATGTCGCCTTTCTCGATTGCTGTTGTTTGATCTCGATTGCTGTTGATTGATGTTTTTAGAACACATGTTTTATAATTGTTTATTTAAAAAATTTACTGAAAAATGTCTACTATTTTCTTCGTCATGAAATACTTGGCGATGAAAAAATTCTCTACTGTTTGCACAGCAGCTCTTTCTTCTTTCCATTAATAGATTTTTGTTGTGTTTGAGAGAGTAATTCGTTTTGCATGAACAAAATAGGTCAGAAAAGTTATGTTTTCTGAGACTTTAGTGTGAGGGGCTAAATATTTAGATGTCAATCATTTTAGTTGCTATCCATTATTATTTATATCCTTGAGAGTTCTCATACTATAATTAAGTGTGATTTGGTACCTGCCTGTCAGTCAGTCTAGGTTTGTCTAGCTGCTATGTGTTGACCTCTAGTTCAGTGTCTTATTTATGCGAACTTGAAATCATTTGAATTTAATCTTCAACCGTATCGTTTTACTAACCCTTGTTATGGCGCAGCCAGCGGATGGAGGGGGAAAACCCCCTTGGAGTTGTGGCATTCTGGCCTCCGAATTAGGCGGAACCCCAACTTATGGGAACATTGGAAACAGCGATTCCATTGGGCAATGGTGGCGAAACACGGATTAGTTTCGTCTGAATTTTATTTTCCGTCAACATTGACCGAAGCGCAGATTAATTACCTGGGAGAAATTTGTGACAAACTAAGGGAAGAAGGTAAACGCACACTCATATCGAATCCGTATCTATGTTTAGGACACGAGGGACAGCGGGCCCTGCATAATCAGCATCCACACTTGAATATGGAAGCAATACGATACTCAAGGTTCTTGGATACATGTGTTGCTCTTTTCCAGAAAGAGCAAAATGAAACGTATGAGATGTGCCAGATTTTGTTCTGGAAACAGAAAGAGAGAGAGAGTTTAGAATCGTTCTACGCAGAACTCAGCGGAAAGGCGGCGATATGCAATCTGGGTACCCAAGAGCAAAAAATGGTGAGAGACATATTTATATTTATTATGCGGAATAGGGACGCACAGAACGAGCTGTGCAGGGAAACGAAGACCCCGGAGGAAGCACTAAGGATTGCAATGTCGTATGATAGAGGCGACAAATACGCAAAGACTTACAAAGGAATAGCGCCAGGTTCCACGGGAACGGCCTACACAACCCCAGGGGGTTCTCTACAGATCAAGGCGGAACCAATCAGTAAAATTCGTGTATCCAGGGGACGAGGAATACAAAGGGGACGGGGACAATATCAGAATCGAGGAGGAGGCCGAACGCAAGAACGTATATGTTACAATTGTGACCAGCCGAATTTCACAAAAAGGTCGGGCATTTTGAGAAAACTTGTCGGGGAAAAAACGGCTGTCACGTGGGGGACAACCAGTTGGACTAATCCAAGGGAACGAACCGTTCGACAAAGAGGATACTCCCTCGGATGATGTTGGGTCGCAGAATGCTGCAACTTCAGTGAGTTTCGTCAAAAGAGAGCACCACAGCTGGTCATCGGAGAGTTCAGATGACTATATGGTTATGGCGATTAAACGTAAAAAGGAGACACTACTGAAAATTGCCGGGCCTAAACTAAAAATCTACATTAATGGACACCCAATGAACATCTGGATTGACAGCGGATTGCCGATATCCATACTAACACTTGACGACTTGAAGAAAACAGTGGGACGAACGGGAATCAACTTGAAAGAAGACGACATGGAATATGACGAATTTCAGGACTACAGCAATAATCGGATCAAAATTTTGGGGAGAAAGGAGGTTGAGTTAGCATCAAACGGCTGAAAGACTAGAGAGGAAGTTAGAGTCATCGGAGGGACCAGACCCGCAATTGTGGGACGTGACATGATGGGGAAACTTGGGCTACAGTTGATGCAAGCAGATCCAAGGGGAGCATTGATGAATATCCAAGGGATGAAAAACAGTACATTTTAGATGGAGCAAGCTGAAGAACCGGAGGACGAGCAAATGGACCGCTGGCAACAGTATTTTAGTAAGGTATTCCCGAAACTTTTTACTAGGATCGGAAAGGTCCAAGCGGAGTTTTTCAAAAATCTCGTACCTGTGCAACAAAAGGGCCGGAGAATGCCGGTAACGCTTCAAGATAAAGTGGATAAAGAGATCGATAAGCTACTAGCCCAGGGACACATTGAAAAATTGAAGGATTGTTCGGATCGATATTTTGTTTCTCCGATTGTTATTACCGTAAAAAAGGACAAGTCCGTGAAGTTAGCGTTGGAATCTCGAGAACTGAATAAACAGTTGCATAAAAACAATTGCCAAATGCCTAACATAGAAGAAGTTGT